TATATAGTAGTATAAATAGAACACTTTTAGTATTGAATTGCATCCATTGTACCAAGATTTTCTGATCGAATCAATTAACTAAATAGATACTTCTATCAGTAGTTGTAATAGTGGCAGATAACAACGGACTCTTTGTTCACCTTCCTGATATTCTATTTCTTCGAAGTGAACCGTACTTGCAACCTTGAATCGTTATCGTCGCCATTTTGTTTACATATTGAAGCAATTTTCTTGATGTCGCCGGGAGTCGTACTGCTGACGATCAAATAGACACGAAGCGTCATTTTAGTGTATAGTCGCTTCGTTTAATCTTTTTGTTCTGTCATTTCCTAATTCTTATACAGACGGAATATCAGTGTCATGGAGGTTAGATATAGAAAGGTTTGTTTTCAGTATTTTCTTTTTAGTAAAATTCCTATAGGGTATTTAAACGGGATTCACTAGTTGCATATCGTTATATTGTTTAAATTAAAAATAAATAATTAGTATAATCTAAATTTTATGTAAATATTCCTTATATATAAAAACTTAGCTCAGTAGTAAGAAATTAAAATTTAAGTACTTCAGGTAATATTGTAAAGATAGATGAACATAGTTTTTTTTCATTGCTTTAAATAGAAATATTTGTAATTCTATATTAAATTCTTGTAGAATGGTTAATGAGATAATGTCTGTTAATAATTAGCAGTTTTGTTACGTAAGTTTTGAAATAAAATAATATGAAGACTTAAGTATGTAATAAAAATTCTATTAATGTAAAGAATTTTATATTTTTGTTTAAATTTTCGATTTAGATAAACTTATTTGTTAATTTCACAAATTATTGGTCATATGATAAGAAATAATATTCATTTTAAACTCGAATCAATTGATAAATTGAAATGAACTTGAGTGATTTTCGTTGTGTTGGTACTACATTATGTATTGCATGCTTTTGTTCATGACATTACAAAATTTCATTTGAAATTATTTTTACTCCTAGTATCATAAATTGTCATACAAGGAAAATACAGCAAAATTATTTTTTCTTGCAAATTAACATCAAGTATTGTTATTCAACAATCTTTTTTCAATTTTTACATCTTTCGCTTGTGCGTTTTTTTATTTTAACTTATAGAATATTTACTTTGTATTGTAATGGTATTTATTCAACAATAAAGACAATTTTTAACCATATGTGCATAAGTTGTACAATATACTTTGCATTAAATATTTTTAAACATTGTGTAATTGTAATATACGTGAAATTTTTATTAAATTCTATTTTATGTGAAGAAAAGTAAATTTAAAACAAATGTTCAAAATAAAATTATTGTTACATGCTAATAATATAAATGTAGAGATTTTTTGCACAATTTTCAAATAATACATGCTGTATTAACAGCAACATCTCATTTATAATTTCCATTAGAAAGTATTAACATCTTAATTGAAAGACAGAATTACATTAATATATTTGTATGTTAAACATTTATGGATACTTATAGTAAATATAAAAGTAGATGTTGAATATTAGTTATTGAATGATGTCACTTTTTCATTATATCAAAATATTCGGTACACCCGTTACATTTTGAAAGTACCGCATTCCCTTTAGTACGTGATGCTTTTATTTTTCTCGGTAATTTTTCCACGTAAAGAAACAAAACCTACCTTCGTTACCTATGTCAGTTGCTTGTATTGCATTTTAGATGCAATATATTCCAGTAAGTTTAAAATATTCTGTGTATTGTTCATTGAACTACATATTCTAAACGTCAAGTCAGTTGGAATTTCATTATAGTTGAGGTTATCTAATGTTTTATAATTTTTGTAGAATTATCTTTTGTGCCAGCTGTTTTAAGTATATTCTCTTGTATACCGTACACAATAATTTATTCTAAAGGTATCAGTAAATTTAATTATTTGAATTTAATTATTGGAAGTAAATAACAATAAAATGTATTATAAACTTACAAAATAAATCATTTTTTTATAATATGTATATTTAATAATTTGGCAGAAGTATCTGTATGGAATGTAATTCTTAAAAAG